GGCTTATGCTCACTCGCACTTACTAAATCGACTGTTGGAGGAATGGCATTTTCCATTTTCTTATCAAACGGGACTTACCACATCATATTATAATTTCCAGACGTCGAATTCTCTCTGGATTTGTCTCGAAGTCTCCTGGCCATGATGGACGGCGATCTCTCAGGAAAAGTTAGTTACTTCGAGTTCGAGAAACTGATCCACTCTCTCCGGCGGTGGGTGGTAAGTGCTTCCATCTGGCGGCTGTGGCGCAGATTCTCCGGAATGAATTTTGTTGTTATTGTTGTCTTTGAAGGAATATTTTTGTTGTTGTTTTGAGTAGAATCTTTTTTGTTGTTTTGAGTAGAATACATGTTTATGTATTGTGAATAGTTTAAAATACCATGTTCTAAAATACATGTTTTTCTTGTTGTCTGAGTGAAAAACTGATGTACTGAAGTTATTCTCATACTTAAAAGTTATATAATAACATTATATATCAAAGAAATCCATTTTTTCTCGGCCTTCAGAGAGTGTACAACGAGAGTAAGGACGAGGAGAGCGGCCTGCTGTCGGGTCACTCTTGGGGCCTCGGCGACGCGCTCAGGGACCTCGGCCTCCAGATCCCGCGCCGCATCCGGGCCCTCGTGGTGGTGCGCTACGGCGACCAGCAGGGCCACATCGCCCTCAGGGACTTCCTCATGGCCACCTGCAGGATCTCCGTCATGTTGGGTTAGTTGTGGCTTGTTTGGGTGGGTGGGTCTTCGCTGTAGGATTTTCTTTGTTTTCTCATTTCTCTTTTCCCCGGTCTTTTTTTCTTCGTTTCCCTTCACCTTCTTCTCTTCGTTTTCTCGCTTCTCTTCTTCTCTTCTCTTCTCTTCTTTCCTTTCCTCTCTCTTTTTCTTTCACTTTCGAGTCTCTCTGCTCTGGTCTCGCTTCTCTCTAACTAATCTGTCTATCTATCACTCTCTCTTCTCTCTCTCCTCTCTCTCTCTCGTCTCTCTCTCTCTCTCTCCCTCTCTCTCTCTCTCTCTCTCTCTCTCTCTCCTCTCTCTCTCTCTCTTTCTCTCTCTCTATCAATTTCTCTCTCTTCTCTTCTCTTCTTTCCTTTCCTCTCTCTTTTTCCTTTCACTTTCGAGCTCTCTGTCTCTCTCTCTCTCGTCTCTCCCCACCCTCTCCTCTCCCCCTCGTCTCCTCCCCTCGTCTCTCCCTGTGCTCTCCGTCTCTCCTCTTTCTCTCTCCGCTCTCATCTCTTCTCTCCCTCTCTCTCTCTCATCTTCTCTACTTCTCTCTCTCTCTCTTCTCTCTCTCTCCCTCTCTCTCTCGCTATCTCTCTTCCTCCTCTCTCTCTAACAACTATCTATCGTATGCAGTCCTCTCCTCTCTGTCTCCTCTCACGTCTCTCTACCACTATGCTTTTATTCAGTCCGTTCTCTCTCTCTCTCTCCATAAACTCTCGGTCTCTCTCGGTCGTCGTGCGTCGTGCCTGCCGTCCTCTCTTTCTCTGTGTCTCTTTCTGCTCGGCTTTGCTCGGTCCGTCTCCTCTGCTCGAGCTCTGCTCTCTCTTTCGGCGTCCCTCGTCTCCTCCGCAGTCGTCTCCTTGTGCGTGCCCTCGGTCTCTCTCTCTCTCCTCCTCTCTTCTCTCCTTCCTCTCCTCTCTCATTCTCTCTCTCTCCTCTCTCTCCCGTCTCCTCCCTCGTCTCCTCTTTCTTCTTCTTTCTTTCTTTCTCTGCTGTCTCTCTCTCTGTTCTCTCCTTTCTTCTGCTCTCTCTTCTCTTCTCTCTCTCTCTCTCTCAGTCTCTCTCCTCGATCTTATCAGTCTGTCTTCTCTCCTCTCTCCCTCTCTCCTCCTCTCTCTCTCTCCCTCTCTCTCTCATCTCTCTCTCCTTCCTCGTCTCTCTCTTTCCCCGCTCTCTCGTCTCCTTCCCTTCGTCCGTCTCTTTTCTCTTCTCTTTCTTCCTCTCTATTCTCGTTTCCCTCTTTCTCTCGCATACGCTCGTGCTTCTCCTTCACATTCTCCCATTCCTCTCCTCACTCCCGTCACTTTCCTCTCTCTCTTCTGTTCTCTTCACTTTCTCCTCTCTCTCCTCTCTCCGCCTCACTTTGTAGTTCCATCACTCGACTTCCATTTCAAGGGTGTTCTTTTCTCTTCCTCTCCTCTTGTCTCTCTCTCTCTCCCATCCTCACTCTCTCCGTCTATCCCCGATCTCTCTCTCTCTCCTTTCTATCTGCTCTCTCTCTTCTCTCTCTCTCATCTCTCTCTCTCTCTCATCTCTTCTCTCTCCATCACTCTCTACTCTCTCTCCTCTTTTCCTCTCTTTCCCCTCTCTCTCTTTCCTTAGTCATTCCCTTCCTCTCCTTCGCCCATTTTAATCTACCCATTCTCTCCCTTCCTTTCATTTCGCCTTCCCTTTCACCGTTTAGGCCTTACTTCGTGAAATAGGCAAAGAGACCTGGGTGAGAAGAAAAAAAGTGGTATATATCTTTTCGCAAATGCGAAACTTATTCCTGACAATCAAATCTATTATACTATCTTCTGCTCTATGATACCCATTATAATCTATGTGTGTTTGTGGTGTTGGAGATGAGTGTGTGTGTGTGTGTGTGTGTGTGTGTGCTAATATATATATAGTATAAATACTAGTATTATATATATATTAATTAATATACTATTATATATATATATATCTATTATATATATATTATGTACATTATATATAATACATATATATAAATATATTACTATATATATACTCACATATACTATACATCTATATATATATATTATATTAGTATATATATATATTATATGTGTGTGTGGTGTGGTGGTGTGTGTGTGTGTGTGTGTGTGTGTGTGTGTGTGTGTGTTACTGTAATGTATGTATGTATATATATATATATATATATATATATTTCATAATATATATATGTATGATATAAATATAATATATATAATATTAGTATATGATATATAGTACTTATATATATGTGTGCTGTGTGTGTGTGTGTGGTGTGTGTATATATATATATTATATATATTTACTATATATATTATATATAATATATATATATATATGCTATATTATATATATATATAATATATATATAGTATAGTAAATTATATATAATTATATATATATATGATATATAATGATAATAGGTAATCAAAGTTAAAAGTAACGTGTTCTGATAAGGCTGGGTTTATGGTGACAATATCACATATCAACGCATCTCTTGTTTAAAATATTTTTTAGCAGCTATTACTAGCATGGTCGGTAATGTATTAGCGAGTCATACCGGTGTGTTCATGCTGAGTATCATCATTACAATTTTAATTAGGTAGTACCATTGGGACATAATATAATACATATTCATCTACAACCCTGTTTATTAGATTAGCAAAATAAATTAAGTTTCAATATGACAGTAACGTTAGTCTCCAGTGGATATTAATGATTTATATTACACGGTCTTATCACGGAACTGGGTCAATTATCTTGCTAATATCAGACAATCATATAATCCTGCTTTATTATTATTCTTAGTGTTTTTATCATCAGTCATTCATCGCAATAATCCCTGTTTGTTTATCATTAATGTCTTATCATGTCCAAAGTTTTGCGTTTAATCATCTATTTGTTTATTTATTTTAATTTTTATTTTTAATTTTTTTTTCGGTTTCATTTATTCTTGTTCTATTTTTATTCCAATTTTCGTTCATTTATCTTGTTTATTTATCCAATTTTTGTTCATTTATCATTGCTTGTTTTATTTCTTCTTTCTCAATTTTCGTTCATCATTATCTCTCTTGTTTATTTATCCGTCCCATACCAATTTTAGTTCATTCGATTGTTCAATCATTGTTTTATTTATGATTTTCTTCAAAGATTTTTGTTCATTTCTCCTGTCTTGTTTAATTTACACATTCTTGTTCATAGTATTCATCCTTGTGTTTTATTTATCTATTCCAATTTCGTTAAGTTATCATATTATATTCTTTGGTTTATTTTATCCCAATTCTTGTTCATTTTTGTTATGCTCATACTGTTTCATTTAAATTTACTCTTTGTTTTTATCATAATTCCGGTTTATATTGTTCCCTTCCCTCTTTATGTTATGCGAATTTTAATATTCCTGTATCAATTTATTTATGCTCTGGTTTTTATTAAAATTTGACACTTTTTGTTTCATTTTATTATCTGCCTTTATCTACGAGTTACTTTGTTCATTTTTATTTCTTGTTATCATGAAATATTTTGGCTTAATCTAAACTATTGTAGTTCTTATTTGCATTGTTATCATGTGTCTTTTTTAATTAAAAAATTAATTATTCTATCACATCTTTTATTTATTTTTCCTTGTTTATTTATCATATTGCCCTATCGTTTTATTACATTTCTTCTTGTTGTTTTATCACCATTCCTGGCCATTTATTACCCTATTCTTGTTTGATAACATTTCTTTCATTTTTGTTTAAGTAATTTTCTTTCGTGCAGCTCTGTTTATTTTTTTTCATGTATACGATTGTTAATGCAAAATTCCCTGTTAATATTCGCGTAGAGAACAATTTTTTAATCTTATTTCTGTACATATATTTTTTTTTGGTTTATCATATTGTCTGTTCATTTATCTTCGTCTTTGCTGTTGTTGTTAGCTTTTTGGCTGTGTTTATCTCATATTGCCTGTGCATGATTTTAATTTTGTTTTTTGTTTTTCTTCCTTTTTCTTTTTTTTTTTCTTTTTCTTTTTTTTTCCCCTTTTTTGTTTATTCTCTATATTTGGGGGCTTTCATTTTACCCCTTTTTATTTTATCGTACTTCATAAATGCTCCTTCGTCATCATAATCATTCTTTTCATCACACATCCCTTCCTGTCATCCTTTCAAATCATCTTCCTAGTTATTTATTTTCTTCTCTTCTTCTCTTATCAAATTTTCTGTCATGTTACCTGTCGCTCTTTTTTGCCCCTCCTCATATTTTTACCCACCTCATTTTTATAATTCTTTTTTTCTCACGGTCGTCCCCTTTTTGGGCTTATTTATTCATATTCGCAGAGCGATTCGTAGAGTCACGAGAAAACGCAGAGGAGAAAGAAGCAAAAAAGCATCTATCTCCGCCTTCAACACGATTTGGCTCCAGAGACACCCTGTAATTGTGATTGTTCTTTGCCCCTGTTTCTCTTCTCTCTCTCGATCCTTGTTGCTTAATGTTGGGAAAATAGTTCTTTGTGGAAGAAAGTTGTTTGATCAGATTTTCACAATAGGAATATGTCTTTTTTTTTTTTTTTTTTCTTCCTCCGTCTTCGCGGACATCCTCTGTTTCCTTGGGTTTGGTGAGTCTTTCTTGTTTTTGTCTTTCCTCGCTCTCTCTGTTTCTTTCTCTCCTCTCTTTCTCTTCTTTTCTTTTTCTCCTTTCTCTTCTCTTCTTCTTCTCCTTCTCTCTTTTCTTTCTCCGCTCTGTTTTCTCTTATTCTCTCTCTCTCATCCAGTTTTTCTTCTCTCCTCCTTTCTCCTCTCCTTTATTTCTCTTTCTTTTCTTCTTCCTTTGTCTTTCTCTTTTCACATTAGCTTTTTCTTTCTTCTCCCTCTTCGCTTCTTCCTCCTCTGTCCTTTCTTTTTCCTCTTTTTCTGTTTTCTCTTTTTTTGTCTCCTCGTTGTCTCCCTCTTTTTCTACATTTCCCGCTTCTATTGACTGTTCTTGCTCCTTTACCTTTTCTTCTCTGTTGCGTTTTCTTCGGTCTTTTCCTTGCTCCTCTTCTGTATCTTTTCAGTTTCTCGATCACCTGTCTGTTATATTTCTCCCTCTCTCTCAGTCCTCTCTCCTCTCTCATTCTCTCTCATCTCTCGTCGTACTATCTCTCTCGCGTGTTCTCAGGTCGTTGCCTCGTCTCGTTTCTCTCAATATTTCATCTCGTCTCTCTCTCTTTTACTAACTTGAGTTTAAATTTGATTTTTCAATAGAAGATACGCATGTTATTATCCTTGAAAATATTTAAAATTTAATTTTGTTATAATTTTTCATTTTTTATCAATGTTCGCGCAGCTTTTTTAAGAATCAACTGACCCCGGCGGCATCGTCAAAATAATTTTATTTGAATGTAATCATCGTACAGGCTTAATCTTAATTGCCCTAATCATAAAACAGGGGCAACGCAAAGTATAGTTACAGTAACAGCTGTCGAACATGGAAATTAACCTTGGTAAAGAGATTCTTGTGGGGTGGAGCTGGGAGACAGTAAAAGTCGCTCAAGGGCAATAATCAATAATCACTGTACGTTGATCAAAGTTCGGATGAGGTATCACGTTATAATAGTGGATTAAAAGGCCATTTGTTCTAAAAACCCAAACACTAATTTTTATTCCATTGGTATACGCAGCAGGATTAAAAAAACAGCCTACGCGGTGGATAGCGAATGCAATAAAATTCAATTCTTATTGGGGAAAAATGGCCCTTGTTTTGGGGCCCTTTAATTTTTTAAAAAAAAAAAAAAAAGGTTTAAACGCATAAAATATTAAACAAATGAAATAAATAATTTTGAAAGAAAAAAAAAACAATCCCCAGGACCACCCGCAATCATAATATACAATCACAGTAGTTGTATTTCCTTTTGATTTAGAAACCGTTGACCATTCTGGCATTCAAACAAGGTACTTTAACACTAAAATTAATCACTATTAGGATATATATGCCTTGCATTCATACAAATATAAATGAATATCAGGATATATGTACCTTGCATTTAAAATGAAATCACTGATGTTAGGCTGAAGGCAACCGTATCTTGTTCGCTGGGTCGACAGGGCATGGGTGCTTCTTCCACTGTGCTTTGTATCCGACCCACTTGTTGACGACTGAAACAAACAAAAAAAAGACACTATTAGGCAAAAAATAAATAAATAAAAAGAAATATGAATAAAAATAAATAGATAAATAACTGAAGCTAGAGTATTTGAGTATTAAACAGAAAAAAATCGTATATTTGACGGTATGTGCGTCCCACGATGTCCTCAGTAAATATGTTTATTAGATGCTTTGTTAATATAGACATAGAAGAGATTACTTATCATTAATTTTGCCTTAAATGGACTCATAATGTATGAATATAGTGCATTAACGTGAATATGCTGACACTTGGGTTATATATGAAAATACAAACTAATAAAACATTCAATAGACGCATTTTCGGGTTATTGGTCTGAGAACACCTATGGACGCGCATTTCATCTTTATGCTCTTTCATTTGAATGGTCAATTATTCACGCTGTATTTTTTAGGATTTATGTTCCTGAATCATATTGATTGAACTTAGAGTATAGAAGATAAGTACAAGTATATAGACTTTATTAGATGAGTATATAACAAGATTAACAAATGAAATTATAAAAAGGAAAGTGAAATATTTAGTTACCTTTGGTTGCTGCTTTTTACGTTAAGCGGAAGATAAAAATAATTATAGATGTTTTAAATATACATAAACTTTGAGCCTAGTCAGACCGAGTTACACTGTATCGAAACAGTTGAGCAG